TTTTAAATAAATCTGCAAAGCAACCTAACTCGAGACCATCAAGAAAGTCTCGTATTTATTCCGTATAAAGGAATCGGATTGTAACATGGTAAATGAGTTACAACTGGCCACATTTAACGGAATAATATCCGTTGAAAAATTAGATACCTGTGCGAAATTAGGAAAACTATATTTACGCGCATTATACCCTGTACATTGTACAATTTCTATACAATTACTCAAAAATTAAAGAAATAATTTGCTGATATAGCAATTATGAAAGGAAGAATTACAATGGATGATTCAGAACAGAAAGAAGGATGCAATTTTGTAGAGAATAAACTTCTGTACCAGATAGGAATCGTCTCAAAGGAAGTGAAACGGATGCTGGATTAGATCTTTATTTCTAATGATTGCTAATAATTTAGTAAACTAGAATCACAAAACTAGTAACTGTTATACATTTGGCTTAATTTATATTTTCGTTGCTATGCTGTGATATCAAGTTATTTAAGATAAATACTCTATTATGTGATTCATATATTAATGTTTCGGCCACTCCTAAGATCGATTTTATACTTAAGACTCCGCTGTGATCAGTCTTAGATACGGTCGTAACGTATATATTAAACGAATAATTGTACATTACGAAACATCAAAGAAAATATTAGATTAGTCTTAGCTAATTTTCAAAACAGTTTTAAATTTGGTCTAATCCTTTTTCATCACCTATTTACTCATTCGAGATGTCACATCTGTAATTAAATCATTTGTCTCAAAAATAAAAATTTTATATTATCTCTCTATATATACAGTTCACTCTAATGCAACAGAATCTTATTTAAATAAGCCTCAGTGAAATTAGCCAGCGTTTTAAATGAATTAATTTAAGCTCTACTTTTATCCGCGATTCCATTGCCCACTTTTTATGATGGCTTCAAGAAATGTTACTTCCTTTTTCCTATCAATTGAAAGGCATGGTCTTATTGACTAGAATATTCTGGAGCTGAAGGTATATGAATTAGAATGAAAGAACGGATGATAATGCTTCCTTTAGAAATAATCACTGCCGATTATAATAATATTTGTGTGGTTCAAAATGATAAAGTGTGACAACAGATGTATATAACATATATATATATATAAGTATGAAGCTGTTTAGATCTTAAGTATTACATTTAGTCAATTGTACCTGATTTGAAAAATGGACAGTCATGCTGCCGAAATAAGAAAGAGAGTAACTTTCAATATTTACAAAGTCAGCTTATTCTAGGCGTTAGATTATAAGATAACAATTAATAGATAATAGGTTAAATAAAATATACAATAGACGCAACAAAATTCAATTTCATATTGATTGAAGAGATCTTTGATTAGTTAGTTAAGTAATTAACGGAAGCTTCAACCAGATGAATTGAAAGATTTGTTTTCAGTTTGCTTTTAGATTGACTTTTAATGGGAAAAGCAAGAAAGCAAATTAGTTGATCTCAAAATTATTCATAAAAAGTATCTGTGATTTCACTGTAATCTTGAAAACTGATAGTAACTAGTTGCCATAGATGTACTGATGATTTCATATATCATTATTATTTTTGTTCTTTCATCCAATTTGGAGGAAGATCTTGCATAATTTTTATTGGTTACAGCTTCAATTAGCTTTGTTACGATATTAAAGGAAGACAGATGCTCTTATTAGAAGAAAGTTTACAGATAAAAAGGAAAGCAAGTCGCTGTCATTTACAGAGAAGACATTTTATACCCTTAAAAAGGAAAATAAGTCTCTATCATTTACAAAGAAAATATATTGTACATCGTTCCAAATAGAAAGCAAGTCTGTCCTTTACAGAAAAGATATTGTACACCCTTAAAAACAGAAAGTAAGTCTGCATCATTTACAAAGAAGGCATTGTACACCTTTAAGGCAAACACTTATTATTTACCGACTTTACCTGTTACTGAGGTCTTTAATTGCGTATTAATAACTTTATTTCGCTTATAGCTGTATAATGATTGAAATTGATAAAGTAATTTTCTTCAAATTCTTTTAGGGAATATCTTTTTCTATTTGCAAGTTACTATTTACTAATACTGTATCGCGATACTGTTATTTTAAGTGAATATCGAAATTTACAATAAAAGTATCGTATGTGAAATAATTCAATAAAATCAAAGTCAGTGTTTTTGAACGGATGGGTATTAATACGGAAGAATAGTTTTTGAAATGTTTTTAAGGATGGAAATATATCAATAAGATGGGATCATGGTCAATCAATCAGTTATGAAGGAAACAGAAATAAAACAGTGTATAGGAAAGCCAATTATCTACTTTAAGGGGTGCGAGTGTTTATGGAAGGATCATTCATCATCTTTCTTGATTTCAAATCATTAGATATTGGAATGGATTCCTCAATTTTAATTTTTTCGAAAAATTTATTACTTTAGTAACGCAGAAAAATATTTGTTTGAAATATCGTTAAGAAAAATGAGCAATAATGAACATTGAGCTTTATTACCGCTGCTAAGAGCTTAATTAAATATCTGCACGTTCGGCTATTGTGGAAGAAAGTAGAATATTTACGGAAGCTGTGCCTATGATAATACTCGTATATGATATAAGCATAGAGTGGCTAAGTTCAGATTGGTCCATTTACTATTATTTTAGCAAACATGGATCATAATACTTTCGTCTTGAATTCAAATGGGTTCACTTAGTCTATTTTTGATAATAGCCTTTTTATTCCCTTTTAAAGACATTGTGCACGTGCATCATGATATAAAACATTGTGACAAGTTCTTAACCTACAATCTTATGCCCTGCATTATATAAGATACTATAGTATAGGACTAGCTCACTGTCCGCTTAACTAAAGTGCAATAGTGCCTTGGTACTGTAATAGCTTGCCTCATTTGTGTTCGTTTGATAGTAAACTGTTTCTTTAGTTATACGGTACGTATAGAAAGGAAATATATTGTGAAGTGTTGGATTTATCCGGGCTATAATCTAAGCAAGTAAAAAATAACAGCTACAGAAATTTCCTAATATCTTATTAATGTGTATGAATAAATACCGGCTGAGCTATTGTTAGTTTTCAATTACATGTGGCACTGCTTTGGTAACGCTTTAAATTTCTTTCTGTGCGCATATTGAATACGACGATATTTATTTAAAAATGCCAATGCACGTGGTAAACTAATATTTTATTGGTATTCTAGTGCAACTTTGATGCTTTGACGTTATCCTGTTGCCAAGGTAATTGAACTTTGGGAACAATAAAGACGTGAAAGCGAGTGATCAAAGGTATCTGCTATTATAACTTGATAAAGTGTCTTCTCAAAAATAAAACAAGAACTGCAGTTTTTTGGAAACTTCACTTTATTACATAAGCTTGGTTCGTCTAACTACTACTAAGGACTATCTCTGGAACATCTAAATCATTACAGCAGTACTCATGATTTATATACAATTAGTTACAATTAGGTTCGTTTAATTACCACCAAGGGACTGTCTTTAGACTATTTCTGGAATATCTAAATTATTACAGAAATATTCATGATTTACATATACAATTAGTTACGGATGATTTTCCTTCGATGCGATCCTACCTTGCCAATTAAGTCACAAGATCATATCTAAATTTGCTATCGCACTATCAATTCATGATTCACACTTCTAATTAGAGCATCGCAAAACAAATTTCATTAACATACATCAGCGCAATCTATTTATGTCTCGGCATCTTTGTAGAAACATCTCAATAAACTTACTACTATACGTAGTGCAACCTACTTCTGCAAATTGACACTATACAATCTCTCAGTCCCACATACAATTTATCTATTTTAGTATAATCTGAATCTTAGATATATTGGGGCTGTACTACACACATAAACAAGTAATATTTCTGATAATTCATCCTTTTCCAATCTGTTATGAGGATTTACTACTGTATGATTGCAGTAGTTGGAAGTTCATGATACTGATTATTCTCGTGTTAGTACAGATTTGAATTCATCATTACTCACGGGAATAAAATAATTTACAAAATTAATTAAAAGATATTTAACTCGTTTAAAGTTCGTAGTCTCTTTAAAGTTACTGGTACTGCATACAGGCGCTACGGATTTTAGGCCATTAGTGAATTAATTTAAGACGTACAACCAAGTAGCATGGGATAAATGATAGTGATTGCCCCTATTTTGTTATAAAATTTTGATACACTACCCTTATAAGTCATTAACTTATACCCGTATATTTCAGTTTTGGACTGCTAGCTCTAGTGGGCTGAATATAGAACATTTAAACTTACTTATAGCATCATAAGTAGTTATAAATGTACATACAGTGTAAGTGATAAAATACCTAAGGGCAATTTTCTTAATTGCAATGAGTATATCTGCAATTATTATTGGGCATCCACTAGACGCCTATTTGATTATGATTTCTTGCTCATATTATATTTTTTACGATATGCAGTACGTATATACGTTACGTATGTGCCATTATAATTAAATGTCAACGGTTTACGATGAATGAACCAAATAGAATTATCGTTTTATATTCGCTTCAAAATATTCCGTCAGTTTTAACTGTTTCATCAAGCACTCTTTTGGTAGCTGTAAGTGTTTGCTGTAACGTTTCTTTCTCGCGGAAGAGTATGTTATGCATTGTCATTCAATGATACATATTTTTTATTCATCTCAAACCCATGAACAGTTTTGTGAGAAGCCGGCTATAGACAAATGTATTACAAGCGACGATGTGTTAACAGAGAAAGACTTTGAGTAACTTAGAATAATATCCTATACCTAATTCTACATTTATGTTTCTCTTAAGGTATACGTAAATGGATAATAAGAATGAGAAATCAAAATATGAATTGCGACTATTCATTGAATAGGCTCATGTCAATATACGCATAGAAGACATCTAATTTATTAGTTTGTTTATCATAGCGATATGCCAGCTGATGTCATGCAACAATACAAAGCATTCTCGACAAACGCCGCTTAAAATACAGAAATTACATCTCAAATCCTTCTTCACCTTCGAGTGAAGACTCTGTGCCGACCTCTTCGTAATCCTTTTCTAAAGCGGCAAGATCTTCCCGAGCTTCAGAAAATTCACCTTCTTCCATACCTTCACCGACATACCAATGAACAAAAGCTCTTTTGGCATACATTAAGTCGAACTTATGATCTAGTCGAGACCAAGCTTCAGCAATAGCGGTCGAATTCGATAACATGCAGACAGCTCGGTTAACTTTAGCGAGGTCTCCTCCAGGAACAACAGTTGGAGGTTGTTTATTAATACCGACTTTAAAACCGGTTGGACACCAATCAACGAACTGTATAGTGCGTTTGGTTTTCAAAGCAGCTATAGCAGCATTTACGTCCTTGGGTACTATATCACCACGATAGAGCATACAACAAGCCATATACTTGCCATGTCGAGGGTCACATTTAACCAACTGGTTACCAGGATCGAAACATGCTGATGAAATTTCGCTAACAGTCAGTTGTTCATGATATGCCTTTTCAGCAGAAACAATCGGTGCATATGTTGCCAATGGGAAATGAATGCGTGGGTATGGAACAAGATTGGTCTGGAATTCATTCAGATCGACATTAAGTGCTCCATCAAAGCGTAAAGAAGCAGTAATTGACGACACAATTTGGCTCATTAATCGATTTAAGTTGGTATACGATGGCCTTTCAATATCCAATTTTCTATGGCAAATGTCATATATTGCCTCATTATCGAATAAGAAGCAACAATCCGTGTGTTCTAAAGTGGTATGAGTGGTTAAGATAGCATTATAGGGTTCTACCACGGCCGTTGCTACTTGAGGAGCTGGATACACAGCAAACTGTAATTTTGATTTTTTGCCGTAATCAACCGATAATCTCTCTAGCAGTAAAGATGAAAAGCCGGAACCAGTACCTCCACCGAAGGAGTGGAACACCAAAAAGCCTTGCAAACTATGACATTGGTCGGCCTAATAATACGAAATTGAAATTAAAAAAATTGTAAATAACTATTAATTATTGAAGTTTAGTGGAGGTAGTTGTCTCATGAAGCATGCTTAATGATTAGGATTCATCTACTATGCAGAGTAAAATCATTTAAAAAGCAAAAAAACTTTATACGAATCTCAATAGCATTGAATTCTTATACTAGTTTATACTGTTTCACCTCAATACTGTACTTACCACTTTTCGTAATCGATCGAGAACAAGTTCAATCAACTCTTTTCCTACGGTGTAATGCCCACGAGCATAGTTATTAGCGGCATCCTCTTTGCCATGAATTAACGTTTCAGGATGATATAAACGGTGATATTTTCCACCCTTGATTTCATCTATAGTATATAGAAGGAGTAATAATGCGAAAAAGTTAGGATAGATATCTTTCCCTTCGAAGCTTCGTACTAGATTGCTAAAGTGAGTGAAAATTTGGTCATAGAAGTGTAGTATGCAAGGGTCTAAATCCATCGCTTAGAGGCTGCGAAAAAATTCTCTATTGCAACATGTCAGACACTAGAAACTCAAATCCTATTTGTAATATACGCTATAAGATATCTATTTTGTTTTAAGGTGCGAACGTTTAAAAGCTATGAAGCAGGACATTCAACCGATTGGTTAATGAGCAGACTAACACTAAGACTGCATTGCTTCACCATTGCGTTACTTCATATAAAAACCATGCAGTACTACAGCACATAAAAAGTAAGTACGAGTATATTCAATAATTTTGTAAACGTACCTATAACAGTAGGCTCCAAGTCGATAAATAACGCTCTTGGGATGTATTTGCCGTTACCAGTTTCACTGAAGAAAGTGCTGAAAGATTCACCTTGGTCAGGTGCCGAGTCTTCGCTGATATGGCCATCCGGGTGTATACCGTGTTCGAGACAGTATAATTCCCAACAAGCGTTACCAATTTGTACGCCGGCTTGTCCAACCAAAATTGAAATTACTTCACGCTATTGAAATTAATTTTTAGCTATTTTAGCATAATTATAATCATTTGTTCGCTGATCGTACGAATAGCTACTTAATAAAAAGTTGGAAAAGCTGCGAAACTGTGTGGCAGTTACCGTATTGGGTATGCACTTAGCAGCTAAAGTATGGTAGAACATAAGTAGTTTGAAGAATACTGTAATTTTATTTTCCTTTCTATTGCATCAATTGCGCCTAATATTATTTGCAATCAATGCTATCCGTAGTCCATTTAACGAATGGAAATATGATCAGGAAAAGTATGGTAGAACATAGTTTGAAAAATACTGTAATTTTATTTTCCTTTCTATTGCATCAATTGCGCCTAATATTATTTGCAATCAATGCTATCCGTAGTCCATTTAACGAATGGAAAAATGATCAGGAAAAATAAAATAGCAAAACACTATCTCAGCTACTGGACTATATCTACTCTATCAGATGGACACCATCCGTTTTTTTTAATGTGGCTGGGTCGGATAACTTGTATGATGTATAAGAAAATTACCGTTAAAATTCATAAGTAGAGTATGGTGAATTGGTGATCTAATGAACTCTACTACGCAAATCGTAAGTCAAGCACGTGTAGTGAATGCAACGGTTCGATCCTTTCCAACATTTGAACATGGATAAAGGAAAGTAAAAACGAGTCCTACATAGAAACTAGCCAATACCCATACTCTATATTGCTAGACGGAAAATAACAAGTAGAAAATCGATTTAACTACCAGGCATTGGGTTGGACTAATGGCAATGGAAGGGTCTATCACGTCGATTGTTCGCGCCATACCATACTGAAGACGTATATTGCGATCATTAAAAACTAGTAGAGTTAACGGGAATTGAGTATTTCAACGAGCTGAACATTATGATCGTATCGTATAAAACGATGAGAAATTCCATTTCAAAGCGCATATTGTCGTCAAACAAATTTACCACTATCTAAATGGTCGTCTACTTACCATTTTGCTCTTGATGAAGGAAGAAAATTGCAGTCTATAACACGATTCCGGTAAGCAACGGCACGGGTGATCGCGCTAAAACTTATAACCCAAGAGTCGTTAACTTGAGCTATATATATGCATGTATCTGCTGGCCTAGTATTCAATCCAACACCGTGGATTTTAATTGGCTAGTAATGGTGGTAAAACAGAAGGTTCAAATAGCAAGACGGTTTGACCAGATGGCAAAGTACGGTATTTGAATATTTATGGAAGTGACTAAATCGCTCAGCAGCCGCTCCTGTAGCAATAATAGAGCAAGGAGGATTAATGAGTATACAAATACTGAACTCGCACGTATGTTGTTGGATTTGTACTGTAGATGCTCCCACTTTTAGCTCATTCAGGCTGATTGAGTGTTGACTGTTACTGCACTACTAGGATGGAAATTTTGGATATTGATACATAAAATCTATTTGATTTACAGTATCGCAATTGCTTCAATACTTTTCTTTTCGTCACTTTGGTACCAACTGTAGATCAGTAATATCTAGCCCGTTGCATGCTGCAACGGGAATCGGCAGATGATTCACGATGAGAAAATGAGAATATGGGTACATGCCCTAACTGAGCGCTTACGCCTCTGCTTAAGTACAGTATAATGACTAAATGTGTGACCTGATTAACTTTTTACCCTTAATTATATTGGCCTTTTATTTATTGATTGATGAATATTATAACCCCCAATATACAGTACTACAGTCCAGCACATACGGTAAATGATGTAATCCCTCATCCTGTTGTCCTTTCCGGTTTGCAAAATATGATCCTATTGGCCTTTTATTGATTGATTGATGAATATTATAACCCCCAATATATACTGTATCACAAAATGGTCATTGATCATTTTCAATTTTCCAAATTTTCGACGTTAACTTTTGTTATTCGTAAATGGCTGTACTGAAGTGAATGATGACTAACATCGTCCAACTTGGTTTTACCAAGTTGCTGAAGTGGAAAATTCTTAGTCAATTTGTATTGTACACTCTGTAGGAAAATCCAAAAGTAGTACGCTGTTTCATAAACTTCTAACAGAGTACTACAGTACAGCACATACTGTAAATGATGTAATCCCTCATCCTGTTGTCCTTTCCGGTTTGCAAAATATGATCTTATTGGCCTTTTATTGATTGATTGATGAATATTATAACCCCCAATATATACTGTATCACAAAATGGTCATTGATCATTTTCAATTTTCCAAATTTTTCGACGTTAACTTTTGTTATTCGTAAATGGCTTGAAGTGAATGACGACTAACATCGTCCAACTTGGTGAAGTGGAAAATCTTTCGTAAATTTGTATTGTGCACTCTTGCACTACAGCATAATGTTAGCAATGTGAAAAAGCGACAAGTTTTGCAAACATTTCCATCTTCACTACGGGCAAATAGTACCTACTGTAAATGATGTAATCCCTCATCGTGATGTCCTTTCCGGTTTACACCGTTCTCATACTGTTCCTTACAAAATACTGTATGCTTTCCCTTTCTAACTGCACGCTATAAAATCGCACACTACGAATCCCTTACCCAAACTGACTGTACTTTACTGTATAATAAGATTACTATTCCAGGGGCGTGGCGAGCCCTCGAAAATGGTTGAAAGATGTTCAGCTAGAGTGTTGCCTTCAATTCGGTCTTCAATTTTGAAGAAATAGACTTTCAATTTAGCTCCATTTCCATGCACACAGGTCAGTACGACCTTGACCAATGGACTCTTCATATTTTGATCACTTTATATCGTAGTATTGAATAATTCTATTTCTTTCACGTTTCGAATACAAGCGATCAGTCGCTGCTAGATGTACATTTCAGTAGATTTTTGGGGCAAATTACTGCTCGATTTGGCAATGCTAATTTTAAATTTGTGCGCGGGGATAATTTATGGACACCCTGCACAGTGTACAGTCCATGATGTACACTCCAAACTACTGTATTTTACAAGTCTCATCGTAATATCGGTCGATAGACGAACTGCGCAAGACTGATACGATATAGTTCTTGATGAGAGTACTGTCCGGCTGCAAGTCTGTACCGTTTACAGTATGTTGGCAGTTGCTATGGAGATCGAGCAATATAGGTCCCAAGTATTGAATTGATCATCAAACCGGATGATCAATTTATTGCACTGTACTTATCTTCTGCATTAAACAGTAAGTGGTACCTTATACCAATTCCACACAGCCTATATTGTTGTCGGTACAACTAATTCTATCCATGTTGATGTGCAGTAGAGTACTATCATACACAGCAGAGAGTAATAGTAATATCAAACGCTTGAATGTACAGTAGTATATTTAAATTGATACTGCTAAAACATACCGTTATTTCAAGACTAAAATCGAGTTGCCAATCCAAGGCTGCTACAAACTGATAGCGTAGATATTAGTCTTTTAATTGCTAATGTGTTATGGTTTATACATTGGACATTGCAATTATTCATTTCTTTTTACTGTGAACATACCTAAAGAACAAATTTTATAACTTTAAAAAAAGTTGTAATTATGTTTCATTCCACGGAATCAGTAAAATCCGCAGATATCCAACATGAGCCTACGATGTTGCTTCAAAGGCCTTCTTCGGCCAGAAGACAAAATGTAGCACATATTCTTACATCTATGTTTGGTGAGTATTTCGTCCGAGATACGATTCCTCAAGATGTGGTAAAATACTTGACGACATCTCGAAGTGGAGACGATCCATATCATGATTACTACGTAGAGGAATTAAGCAAGGTAATGCTATTTTTATATTACATACATTGATACTAAGTAGCTGTGGATGTGATTGATCTGCTGTAATAGAGTTTAATGAAATAGATACCATAACATACTAGTACACGGCTTTTATCACAGATACAAGCTATGCTATTAAAATCGTTATGATCGATCATTTTCTAGATTCAAGATGAACGAGAAAAGCGATTAGCTGCGGCAAGCAGTGTAGAAAATCATTTACTACAAGCCAAAGGAGCAGCTACACTAGCCGATGAAAAGCGTCTAGCAAATTTAACGGAAGAATGCCAAACATATAATCAGATTGGTCTCCCTTCTTGTATGTTCACTATTATAAAGTTAAAATTAACAAATTCTTCAAGTACTTAGATACGTTAAAGAACGACAAAAGTTCAATGTAATTTTCATGCGTATTATTCTTAATTAAAATTAGTTGAGTCAAAATTCAAGTCATTACTGAACAGTGAACTTTTAAAGAAGCACCATTTAATAGCACCAGAAGATTATTCAACTGCCGAAGCAGCTAAGGTAGAACCTCCTACGGCACCCAAAATACCAGGATATGCGCAAGCAACCAGGGCTTATTTGGGTCAAACTAAATCGGCTGAAAGTTCAAATCGAAATAGACCTGAATCTGCTCCATCAAGTAGAGCGACTGCCATGGTAACGTAAATTAAATTACGCGACACGTTATATCACATTGAATTAGCCTTGCTTGATCTCATACATGAGTATATCGAGATTTTCGTGCATTATTCAGCCAGACTGCATTACAGTCTGTACTAATATTATTCATAATTACTTTATATTCTATAGGAGGAACAAAGCTTATTCAATCATAAGAAGTTAACGACTACATCCCCTTTATGGAAAGAGGGCATGGAAATATTAGATCGGGAAAATCATAAGTTCTATTTGAGTTCAATGCATAAAAGAGTCGATCATTTAAAAAATCCACGTCATATTCCGCCAGTTGAAGGGAGATTTCACCAACAATCCAACATTGAATTTGCCTCAAGACCAACTGGCAATAGTCTATATTCGTTAACTAATCAAACTGAGATATTTGTAGCGGAACCGAATCCTATTGTTTTTGGCAATTACAATCCCGGTAAAGCATATAAGATGAGGGTGCAAATTAAAAATGTTACCTCTGCTAGTCGACACATACGTATGATTCCTCCATCAACGTCTTATTTTGCGTCATCCCTTGGACAATTTCCCAGCGAAAATAGCTTTATTGCCCCTGGCTTAGCATGCCAAGTAGAAATTACCTTTACTCCAGATTCGCTAGCTGATTATGATGATGAAATTATCGTTAAATCGCAGAATGGATTAGTGCTAGCTATTCCTCTGCAAGGCAGGCGTCCACCTCCGGTACTTTCGTTGACAGCAACACTAGATTGTGGCCATTGCTTGGTAAATGGTGAGAAAGTTACGACATTCAAATGTAGCAATTCAGGTGGTCCAGGTCGATTTTGCATCATGCCAGAATCATCATGGCCGGTTAAACAGTTTGATAATTTTAAGAAACCTACTAAATTGGATATGGCTCCATTTCAGTTGGAGCCTAATTATTTCGAGCTAAATCATGGCGAATCAATTACTATTACTGTCAAATTCGTACCGGAAGATGTTGATATTTATACTCGTAATATTATTGCGATTTGTGATAACTGTCATGTTAAGACTTTTACGTTGAAAGGTGTTTGTCAGACTGCTGGGGTTGAGTTTGTATCGGTCTCTGAAGGCTTACTAGATCCATTAGCTTTAGAAATGTACGATATTTCTGCTCAGCAACATATAAGTTTCGATACTATTCATCCTGGGATGTTATGTGAGAGAAAATTAATTGTACATAATACAACAAGAGTTGATTTACCATATCGCTGGGAATTTTTTAAATCAATTCTGTGCAAGCCTGGAGCTAACAATGGCCACCAAGATCGCTTCGAGCGCTATCGAGTGCCTAACAATCAAAAGGCCTTTAGTGTTGAACCATCAGTTGGTATTTTTCCACCTTTTGCTAAAGCCGAATTCGTACTTACTTATACGCCACAACACGTAGGTAAATTTGATCAAGTATTACATTTGATTCTTGAAGAATACGAGGAGAATCAATCAGTTGCCGATTATGATGAAGTAGTGCATGATATTATACCTGGATTGGAAATAGAATTACGTGCAAATTGTATGGCATTCCAAGTAGAGCTAACGCCGTCAGTAATAATTATCAGCGATCAATTGCTCATTGGATCATCATGGCATAAGACTGTCCAGATAATTAACAACGGCTTCCATCCTATAGAGTATGAGTGGAAAAATCAATCTAATGACAATTATTCTATTAATATCTCACCTTATAAAGATAATATTCCATCCGGTCAAGTTAGAGAACTAACGGTTGAAGTTTGTGGTTACTTTCCTGGAAAAATTGAGGCATTAATCCATTGCCATATTGAGCATGTTGAGACGCCAGTGTATCTACATATCCAAGCTCAAGTTCAAGGTCCACAACTTAATATCGACATCCCAGATTTAAATTACGGTCTGGTTAGACTAGGAGAGTCCGTAGAAAAAGAGATCCCTATCTATAATACCACTGATGCGATCTCTAAATGGGAGATTTTTGAATGTCAGGGGGAAAGTCAAAATAACAATGTAGCAACTAATGATCTATTGGAATTCACATTTAGCCCATCCAATGGCGAATTGCAACCGAAATCGTCTACCATCATTAAAGCCTTGTTTAAACCAACATTTTGTCGTCGATTGAGGACTGTCTTTGAGTTGCACGCAATCAATGGCAACAGAAAGTAGGATATTCTCTTTTATATGTTCATTTCTAACATCTTCATTGTTTGTGATTGAATCTCCAGGGTTTAATTATACTCTACCATGTACTTTGTCCCCTTTAGACACTTACATGTTCGCGGTGAAATTCAGAGTCCAGTAGTAGCTTTGACTGAGTGTAATCTCCAACTAGATGAAGTTTATATTGGACTACCACGAAAAAGTCAAGTCACCTTAAAGAATCAAACTTTACTTCCTACCAATTATAAATGGAAAACGGTAGGAGTTTTGTCAGTAGTGCTAACAGTTACGAAGTGAAATAGATCAAATTTTTATCGAGCATAAATTCATTTTACATGCATTACTGTATGCGAAAAAATCAGTAATGATAAAGATATGATAGAAAGAAAATTAGGTGAAATACTAACAAAGTTTGCGTACAACTTAGACGTATATGTTGATTTGTTTTTCTCTTGTTGTTTCTATTATATTTATTATTTTAGGATGACATTGGCAAGAAATGCACCCTTACATTTGATGCAAGCGAAGGAGACATTGGATCGAGACAAGCTATCAATATTAATTTGACGCTAATATGTCACGAAATGGTAAATAGAATCTTGACAGATTGCAATTTAAACATAATCGGTGATACACTATAGACAATATGATGCCTTACTCATATCTTTAATAGGGTAAACAAGAATTTACAGTTCCTTGCAATATAACTGGCATGAATGATCCTGTTATCCTTAAAATTAAAGTTAACGTTAAAGGTCTTACGGTTGGCTATTCTACGCCTTTAATGGATGTAGCAAATATAAAAAGGCAAACTCAACAGCAGCTAGAAATAAATGAATCTAAATCCTTAGATCTGAATTTTGGTACCGATGTTGCAATTGGTACGAACGCTAAGAGATATCTGGTCATCAGAAATAAGTCCGCCATTCAAACCGAATACAATATTCGAGTTACTTACTTCATAGCAGCAAATGCCAATCTGGACAGGGGTGTTTATGCTAATAAGAGCTCATCAAAGGTGGAAAGTAAGACAGGATCAATATTAAAGCGAACTGCTAATTTAGCCGACCCTCAAAGTAAATCTATTGAAAGAGCTCATGCAGCATATTCTGCAGCAATTTTAGGAGAGGGTCGTGGAACAGCTTTCGAGATCTTGCCGTCATCTGGAATTCTGGATGCTTTTGAAACTAAAATTATCACTATAACAGCTTTTACTGACATGTGGGGAGATTATGAAGATAATTTGATATGTAGTATCAAAGGTTTAAATGATATAGTTATACCAGTGCAGTTAGGAGTTATTGGCTGCCCTTTGAAATTTCAAATTGGTAATGTGGAAAAGAAAGGTCATCCAATCGTTCGTTTTGGCGCTCATATTTCAGCATCTCCTCCGGTCTCGCGTACGTTAAGGATTAACAATAGTAGTCCATTAGATATTCGACTAGATTGGAAAACATTTAACTTGATTAAGGGTGATCAGCAAGTTGTTGATCTGTTAATTCACTATGGTCAACCATTACCGTTGAATATACCTGATTCGGATAATGTAAAGAGTGTTTCCTATCGGCAGGAATCCTTAATTCCAATGAGTGAAACTTCATCAGTTGTATCAGTTGACGAAAATAGGGATGCTCGAGAAAGCATCGTTAACGAAGAAGACAATATGAATTGTAAATCATTTATTTCAGTTACCGTCGATGCTCATGGAGGTAAACTAGCTGATGATCCATACAGAGTTAACCCAGCTCAATTAATTGTTCCTTCGCGTGGCCATACATCGGTCAATGTCACTTTTAAGCCTTTACGTTCATGTCAAGAGGATACAGACTGTTATAGTTATGCATTAGGTTACATGAGTTTAGATCAACCCGATGCAAGTATAGAAGGTAAAGTTCGTCGATTGCAGGGTTATGAAATCCCACCGCTGCGATTTGACATGACAGGAAGTGTTCTAGCCGCTTGGCTTGAAGTCCACTCAACTGATGATGATGGAAACTATTTTACAGCTGCCTCAAGCGATTTATTGCTTAGTAATGGTCAGGTATTGAAAGAAACTTGGAAAGATGAACATTTCTCATTTACAAATTTAACCGACACACCATTAAATTTTCAAATTATTTTGTCATGGCCGTTCGAAATTCGAGCTTCACAAACCAAGATAACTTCAACAGCTGCTTCTGCTAATCGTAATATTAGTAAGAAAGGGGAAACAAGCGCGATAGTTCGAACGAAAGATCAGTATACTTTGCTGCCTCAAACTAATATGCAGGTAGCTATTTACTAGATAATTAATGAAATTGCAAACAACTAAATTAGCCATTTTTTTAATACTTGTATATTTCACTATTACGCTACAATTTAATTTCATATCCAGTCTTCCCTAATATTGTTTTAATATAATTATATGATAATTTTCTATATTTATAGACCAATATTGGCTTCTGTTTATCACTGGATATGCTACATCGATTTCAAGAATTGGAGAAGGACAAAGATAATAATATTGTCTCCATCGTTACTGATGGTGAAAATAAAAAATTGTGTTTCAATGGTGATTTACAGATAAAATTCTCGAACGGAACAGTTCAGGTATAAAATGAATTGAAATCTTGTAAAAATTTATAAGCGATATCAAAGCTGGATATCTTGCCTATAACAGATATTTCTAATATTTACCATAAGCTAACTTCATTTTTCAATCTTAGAATGTATCACTGTCTGCAAGTGTAGCCTTACCCACATTCAAGCTAGCCGAAAATTCACTAGATTTTGGAATATGCTTTGTTGGTCAAATACGATCAAAGCTAATTACGATTACAAATCCCACTATGTCAGGAACTTATTGGATATCCAATGTCGGTGAGTTTGAACATCGTTAGCATCGATAAGTTATGCAATAAAGTTCCGATCACTGTTGAAAGCTATTAATACATCTATGCTTTCCTCCTTTTGAGAAATAAATTTTTATTTGCGATGTTCAGTGGATATTAACTACTTGTTTTCAAGGCCGAGGAAGACTGACTCTTATTTCAATTTATGATTTAATATTCTTAGAAGCCCAAGATGAAGCATCGAAAGGCATCTTCACTGTTGAACCTAGCCAAGGCTACATCGAAGCTAATATTACTCATATTACGACCAATGCGGTCACAATCAAGGTTAATTTCACTGCTAGGTGAGTTTCTACGGGCAATAATACTTTTAAAATCCTCTTGATAACTTCATTATTTTGCTATTACCGTTGAATCCACTTTATTCATTTATTGCTATAATTGTGTCCTTTCTTTAGGCATAATATAAAATACACGTCGAAAATTTGTATTAATGGTTTACTTGGCGAGACTTCGCAAATATTGTTCGTAACTGGCGAGGGTTCTTATGATGGAAAATATGAATCTATTATTCATTAAAATTGGAGATGCTAAATTAACTTATATGCATTATAACATTGTCTATGGAACTAAACCTGAAGAGGCTACGGGATTTTCGAAGCTAATTATGCATTTGTTGACGATACATTAGAACTTGTTATGATTAGCTTTATAACTTTAATTTTATTTGAGCTATATATATTTGTACAGAATTGTTTCTTTTTATAATGTATAATTAATGTACAAATTATCTTCAGTATGTATTTTGTAAATAATGTGAAAGAATGCCAGTGCGTAAATAATTTTATATTATTACGTAAATTACGAATTTGGAAATAAATTATTATTATAATAGAACAAACTGAATTACATCCTGTATGTAGGTCATTCATACATCAAGTATTAATATACAATAAGCAATTACAAGATAGGTTTTAATATTATAGGGATTTAATCTTATCCGTCATTGGCAATCACATAACTAATTTACTGTTTCAGTTTATTAAAATTAATGTTTATTGTTATGGTTTATAAATTAGTAATGTATTCACTCTGTCTAGCCTCAATACGAATGCCCTGTGCAAGCTACAGCATGCTAGTATACGCTTATATTCCAGCTAGACCATTTATTATTCTTTGTGGTAATAACTTAACTAGTTCATTTACGGTTTATGAAAGATATGGCTAAACTTATTGGTATCAAAATACGAATTTAGCAATATAGTAATACGCGTTATTACGAATATGATTTACTTTGTATTAGCGTGCTTGATTCACGAATAAGTCGTACAATCCTATGACTCCATGGGCTGTTCTGCATTGCAGAGACTAAAAATACATCTGGTATAATAATTATCTCCTACATAAATCATACATAATTTGTTTCATAGAGATGCTAATACCAGAGTTTAACCCACAAGTAAGAACATCTAACTGATATCAAGCTTGAAATACTGCCTAGCCTATTTTCTAGCCCATTCACTATCTTAAGTTCAGCGTTAGCTGCACTTGTAGAGATGTCCCTGCCTAGAATTAAGCCCCGATGTTGACCATAATCACATCCCTTTATCACGACGCGGAACTTAGATTAATACCAGCAGCATATTCTAGGTCGCTATTTGACTTGGAACTACCACTAATAAGCTATAGATTAATTCATTCTAATGGCAGTATCTTGTTCGATTATTTCATCCAGTGGTCTGCAGAGCTGTTATACGCCATTTTACCTCGACCATTATCGATATTGCCGCTGTGGTCGTTAGCCCATAGACATATGTCATGTTTGGCTTAGTATACTGTCGATACTATGGCAGAATATTTTGGTGAGTATTTTATTACTTTTTTTGAGTTAGTGAATAGCATAGGTGCGCAAACACGACTTTATTTTACAGTCTAATGCTGTATGTAAGAATACTATAGCTGGAGTTATATAGGAGCAACTGAGAATTACTATTCTGTCCAGTCCTTTTAGTACTTTTACTCCAATTTTAGATCAGCAGAACTGCAAGGAAAGCTCCGATCAACATCCAGCTATTGTAAATCACAACTTTACTACCTGATATAAGGCATTTATTGGCCGTGCTGTACACTAATAACTCTATCTCTTGCCAGGAAATCATGTCCGAGGATTTACAACAGCTGATTATCTCCAACCAAGTTGATAATTTATATGAATGTATTGATAGTTTTAGTGGTCGGTACCTTTTCTTCTCACATATCGATAGCAGCGATGAGAAATGGGTAGTAAGGTAAGCTCGATTAGTCTATCATAGCATGCAAAGAGTGTTGATTGACCATTGACTCAGTTGTATTTACCCTATCAACTGATATGATTGGGAAAAATACAATAACGAATTGGTAAGCGATGGTAGATTACCATGATTGACGAATCAGAACAACTAGTTGATATCTTACGTGATGATTAATTAGTGAATTAAATACTCGTATCTTTCTCATTCTCCAGTTGTCAGCTAATCTTTCATTCTGTTATAAAAGATGTTCTCAGGATACGAATACAGCAATGTAAATGTACAGATTAGAAAAACTATCTGACTGCTTTTCTATATTACAGTATTAACTTGGTACGCCTTTCATAATTATGAGGGCTAATATTCCAGATAAAGGGAAAGTATCAGTGATATTTTGAGGTAATATTGACTTTACCTTAAACTGATACTGATGAAATTACCAGGGTAAGGCCACTAGTTATACTCGTATAGTTATGTTGTACTGTAATAAGTTCGTATAGTAAAATGAATGGATTCCGGCATGAGCCAGACGAAAACCCTCTGCAGAAGTCAAATAAACTTTGTTGAAAACGTATGGAGAGAAATCAATAAATCAATATTGCATGACGATGGAAAATAAAGTATTACGGGGTTGCACAAATGCTTTCGATGTGGAGTCTTTAGATTATACCTGCATATTTATTGTAGTTGCACCAAAAATATGTTTATCCTCTATTCATTTCAGAACATAATTGGAGTAACTGCGATTTGCAGGATTTTGAGCAGTAGATTAGCTAATCTAAAATGATTTTAATACAAAGACATATACAGTAAATTGGAATAGCTTACGATCGCTGTTATGGAAAGAATTAGTCCAAGTTTCTAACCTCTTGCTTGGAAAGATTTACTTGGCTCAGTACGTCTATTAATATTGTCCTTGCTCTTCCTTTAAGTGCTTGCAATGGTAAGACTGTTTGGCGCCTTAAAGCCGATTACAGCTATTTAGATTCTCATGTAAGTTTAAATTATGATTGTAGTTCTTATTGCATTCCTGTATTCAATGACTTTATAGTTGCATTATTTCTTGCAGAAAGAATTGGCGACACATCTAACTTTTAAGGCTTATTTCGATTATTTAAAGTATGTCAAGAGAAGTATAAAGTATTGGTACTGTAGTTTGCAGTATATCACCATGACATTGAGCTGTCCTTGCTATTAGGCTCTATAGCATTCGTGTAATCAATCGAGTCTTATGTCTTAACTACTCGATACTGCCATAGAAATGCTTGTAAATCCAAAGAAATCTCGATAGGACAAATGTCAAATCAACTCTCTTTAACATTCGGGATTGGAACAACATCGATAGCCTATAATTTAAGAGAGGCATCTGCGAATGAAAGTAAACAGGAAATATCTTATATACTCTTTAAGCTGGCTGATTCGGTAACTGATCTTCGCAAGGATCTCGATTGTGAGTACACTTAATAATAATATCCATCAATCACTTCACTTTGCTTTTCATACTTAATTATACATTCGTATAACTACTGTACTAGTATGTCTTTCATTAAATAATTACAACTGGAGATACATATAGTACAGTCACTAGTTTCAACGGTGATGCTATAATAAATTCATTGCATCGTTATTAGTTATTACGGCTTGGTGGTAAATGTAATCTGTGATCAATGCCGAACTGCAAATGCTATTTGTAGGCTAGATATACTAAGCAACTGTTATGTAACAAGAATTACCTAAATCTATGGCGAGAAACTTTAGTAAAGTAGAGCGAGTGCGTTACAAATGATAAGAACGAGAGACTGATAAGCTTGGTAGATTGATATACAAAACTAGAAAATTATATCAAGTTATTCATGCCAATTATTGTTCTAAATTGATTTACAGCTTCAAAGCAAAAGCTTAAGGATTTACAGACGAAGGTACGATCATACATTAAGATGTACATACACACAACAGCCTTACAGTATGCTTTAATAACTATCTAATAACGGTAAAAGGTATAGTTTGATCGGATTCTAATTTTATTAGCAAAGGTATTAGAATCGATGTGAATGCCACAGCTCATTTTTATTTCACTCGAATTTAGGATGTAATTTCAAACGAAGTTTCCACCGTATTATTTGGTAAAAGTTACATCTGCTTGCTTTAAAATATGATGATTACCGAGATAAGTTAGCTATTGCATTTAGATCTTTACTTTTTCATTATAATAGGAACTCAAACGAAGAAATCGAAACAACCTATTGTAAAACGTAAAGCAGGTCAAAGTCTAGTCAATCCGGGTAGTAGAAAGTAAGAAAGTACCTTGACCGGGTTCTTATGGCTCAATTTATGATATTTCTAGATACAAATAACTTTATAGAAATTAAGTTTATATTATTATTAAATGTTGACTAATATCATTGGATCTACAGGCGACGTATAGGAGGAGGAGTGCAGTTCGATTAATTGGATACTATTTCTCAAACACCTACATCAACCTTTTTGGAGTAAATAAGTGATAATACTATATCTTTCTCGATCAATGACGTAATTGTTGTTTAGGTCATTGATATCATAGCTAGATTTCTTGCTTTTCTGATTGTATAATTCTTGTATTAATATTCATTATAAAATAGTCGTGAAAAACCATACAGATAGAGTGGTTATGTTCGATATAAATGCTATAGTAAGTAGTCTTGTACGCAAGATATCGATTTGAGTCAACCATCGCTTTTATTCAGTAAAATTCCGTGAATTGGCTTTTACCCGATGGGTCAACAATGAATAATGTCATTACTCCGAAGCCTCAAGTTCGAAATCAAAGTATTAGCTAAAAGAAATAAATATTGAAACATTGATATTCTTATATGGATAACCATACTATAGGATTAAAAACTTCTTAGTTACATCAATGGATAACTTTAATATCTACTCGCCGTACTTAATTTACTACAACTGCATTTTTTCGACAGATTTTTAATTTTATTAAAATAGACTTTGTAACAATTTTATAAGAGTTCAGTAACCTCATTAATCATATTAGATTTTTCATTAATTATTGCTATATCAAACTTTATAAATATGATCTTATTTTTGAATTTAGGAGTTGAACGGTTATAAATTTAACTTCTATTACTTCTTAAAATTTATCTGTTCTACCTGTGTGAATACGTATACATATGATATGCCTAGCGCCATTGAGGCTTTAGCAGTATTTTGGCTGCATTTGTACGGCTATTAAATATACGTATATATAAATAATTATAGTTATGAGAGTTAGTTTGCACTAGAGATATTATTACGATTAATGTATGTGCTGCATATATTGTCTACGGCCTATTCAAAGGATTTCCTTATCCATGACGTGCAACTATTAGGAATACTCATGTATGATAGATTTTATAGAAATAATGGACGATAATGCGAATACTGATCTTGTATTATACTATATACTAGTATAAACTGATGCTCGTGCGTTCCGTCCATGTAAGACACTAATCTCTAAGATAATTAGTTGTATTCGCTAGGCTAGCAAGAATTAAAAAAATGTATCAGTAGAACTGCTAAGAATTTGAATAGGAGATAGTTACTTAGACAAGCTACGATAGTAATCTTACGGCGATATTATAGTTTCTTCATTGCAGGACCTATCGTCAGCGAGTGCCTAACTCCATCATATCACTCAGCTCACTTTAATATGTGTTTTATCACAAGGACTGAAAATATACAGATCTAAACAAGGATGGTACAACACTGAATCATCTACACTCAACTAATAGCGTATTTACTGGCAGAAATCTTACACAATGAGACGGATAGATTGACAATCAAAGATATAAAAAAATTTCGAGGAATTATGACTAATGAATATGAATCATAATAAGAGAATTAATTATTAGAACATTAAATACGTCAAAATAAGTAACATACTTCAATAACTCAGACCAGGCTTACAGCTTACAGAGATTAATAGCCTAAAATGTTCACTTCAAACTAATTTCGTATTCAAATTTAGATTGTTACTAATCTATAGAATTAAACAATTTACGTAAATTTTAAAAACATTAAAATTCTATAATAGAAGGCGTAAAAATGGAAAAGGTATATAATATCGTTGATAATTGTTAATTAATTAATTATAGTATAAACGTACTAGATATCTGTGAGATCGACTTTAGTAGGTTCTTTTTCTTCCGTGAGTGTCGTCAGCTCAGCTCCATCTTGGTTTTCATTTTCTTCAGCGCCTATAGGTCCAGAGATTTCAATCTTCTTCCTTTTGAAAAAGCCACACTATAGCACGGGACGAAGGTAAATAAATGTAAAATTATATTACACTGCAAAATCATCATTTAATAACCCTTACTTTCCACAAAATGTAGACGCATCCTGACAGTAAAAAAAATCCTGCCATAGCCGAAACAACAATTATCCACACTGGAGCACTTTCTATTGTCGGGGCATCGTACATTGCCTGTGTATCAGCCTAGAAAAGATAGAAAGCGATTGCAAAATCTCTTAATTTAAGTGATTAAATTAACTATAACCAAAGAAGAGAATTCATCAAGTACTTGAGCTATATTCTCTGTTTTGCCTCCTGGTTGAACTAAATATTTAGCTCCGATCGGCTCTAAGCGACCACGCGATGATAACAAAAATTTTCCTTCCTTTTGAATCTTTCATAAAATTGAATTTTGTCAATGGTACTACTAGTAGCACAACTTTTACAAACTATAATTACCGTATTTAATGTATTTTGCCAAAGACGAGCAACAAAAGTTACGTCAACAATTGAACGAGTGCCAGTTATGGTGCAGGTTATACGTTCGCATCGGATATTGGCTGAATCACAAGACTGTAAAATTTTCCCATTTTATTTTAAATAAGTATTGAATAATACCTAAAGCTAATACATTCATAAAGTTTCATTATATTCTGCATAAGAACTCACCAGTAGCGTTGCATCTGGTATATAGGCACGATTATTAACTGATAGTGTACTGCGTTTGTTCCTTAAACTACGTCCACTAGTTCTGGTACGATTCTGATAAAAATTGCGTGTACGATATATTAATTAAGAAAATAATTAATACTCACAATGTTAGTAAATGCTAAATTATCTTACCCTTATGCCTATAGGATCAATTAAATTAGGCGTGTAAGTGCAGCTTCCGTCAGCACCTGAGATTGTCTGAAATCAACGAAAGATACCTTTATTTGGGTATTTCTACTTCATTTCATAAATCTATGTGTGGCTTTACACGTATACATTATGTGATATATCAGTCAATGTACATTTTTCAATTAATTATATACGTATATATTGTTATTACCGGTGGGCTTGTTAAGTACATCAAATATCCAACATTTTCGTACATTACAGGCCAATCTACTGTTAAGAGAAAGTTTTCTACGGGACCAGGACCGCGATTTTCTAGCTATTACAATATCAATAGAACTAGGTCGTTTAAATAAGTACAAACCGAATGAACTACAGAAGTTTATAGCATATGGTGATTACCCTAAATATGTGTGTCACCGTTGGACCGATTAGAGGCAGGCTGGTGAACTCGCTAATGTTTAATGAACGCGAAACGTATCGTACTAGCAAAGGACTGGAATAGCCACTTAGTGATAAGTCTGCCTCATATAGCACCGGAATGGAAATCCTGTTAATATTGTCATCTTGATTTAAATCCTTACTTGCTCTAAAATTGAAATAAAATAATACCAAAATTATCACGAGGTTGGGTATTTAACAATCGTCAGTATTACATTATTTAAATGAACAAGTAACTAACGATGAAACAGATAAGACCACATCTAATGCAGTGGTATCAATCGGAATGTATATCGAACGGACAATGAAATCAAATGTGATCTAAAGAGGAGAACAGGCGACAAATAAGATTTACCGAATAAAAAATATCAATGGTTTTACAAATGGCTATAAATCATCATACTTCCTCGTTTCTTGTTGTTGGATTGTTAAGGGAACATTTATAAGTACTGATACCGCTATCGCGCCCACTTATTTCGCATGTAATATTATTTGCCGTCTGATGTTTGTAAAATTGTGGTAATTACACATAATCATTTAAATCTACAATTCCAATAACGCCATTACAGTAATGTAATTAAATTTATATATTCTCCTTACCGTTTCTGTCACACGAATAAATGGGAGGAAATCGGGGATAGTTATTAGAACCGATGCTAGATAAGCCGGTTCTCCAACATTTCGTACTCTCACATTAATAGCTAAGGTTTCGGTACTTCCAATAACAGCTCTAGTTCCACCGCTATAGTAAAAGAGAGATTATGATGATTCAAGAATTCATGAGTCAATTCGAAGATTTTATCGCGCTTTAACGCAAAGGTATTACAAGAAAAAAAGAATGTCTTTACTTTGATAGGGTATAATTCGAATTTATAACCAGATTCGGGTTACATCTTTCATTGCTACTGCATCCAATCACGAAACTTGCCTGAATCAATCAGCAAATATTAGATTTTTGATTTATAACAAAGACAGCAGAATATAATATAAAATAATACATGTTAACATAAAAACCAACATTGGTTTGTTGGACGGTTACAATAGAGGAATCGATAACAGGACATAATTCACATTGCTGCGGGTTCAATAGGCTGTAACCAAGTCTCAGATTAACAGGCGCGAATACCTCTCTAATTTCCCTTTTCTATAATATTCAAGCAATTTTCAAGGATTACTTTGTTGCTCGAGACATAACTATATCATACCATCATTCTTAATTTTGTCACCATAGCATAAGCTGGCTGCCTGAGGCAATGAATATTATTAGCTCGGCTGACAGTACTAGTAGCTTTCACTATGCCATTACTATCCACATTCTTCAATTTTATCCGATTATCTGAGTTCAACACTGATAATTCGTATTGAAACACTGTAATTGATAAACAAAGGAAGTGCATAAATTTTGCTGTTATGATCTTATGCACAAGATATGCTTAAATATACCTTGGTTATTAGGTACTCCAACGCCTCCGTATTGAAAGCAAATTTCAACAACAACGCTAAATGAACGATCAAATATAAATATGGCTGATAATTATGATCAGATACAAATCATCGTTCAGTTACTAAATACCAAGTCGCCCTTTGTCCTTCTTCTATGCAATTAAAGTCGTTAAAGTTGATGTGATCGGGGATTACTTTAACTGTAGCCTTGCTAATCATTATTGGCCGAGACCTACAGATGAAATTGATCAGAAATGCTAAAATCTCGACTATTACAAACGTTGCAAATATTGGTAAACCTTAAAATGACGGCTTTATCTGAATAGCCAACCCCCACTGCAATATCTACAAACAAAAAATAATACGAGCCGAAATTGTTAAGCAATCTTTAACTATTTCAGGTTAACAGTCCTCTAGATTTAACCTGGATAATTGTTGGCATCTACGTCTATGCCACCAGAGAGGGATACTCCAAATCCAACTAAGGAACTATCGATTGTTTTACCTAAAATTTTCTACATTGAACAAATTACATTCTAGTTAGATACCGTGACTACCAAACGGCTATGCAAGGTACAAATCATCACATTTAACTTGAACTAGAATTACTTAGGTGTTAACAAGGAAATTAAAACATACCTGAACATATTGCGGCCGTACTCCTGTGGCAGTGCCATGATAAATATAGACCGCACCGCTGCTTTTCGGTTCATTACCGGGTGCACCAACAGCTATGTCTGAGTTTGGATTAAGGTCAACCCACATTTCAGAATATATTACTACGTACACTGTACACAATACTATTAATTAATTAATTCCTGATAATTGAATACCTGGGAACCCATCAAGGTTAATGTCACCAATTGACGATATCGCGAATCCGAAACGAGCAAAATTTGTTTCAGGACCATATATAATGGTACTTGTATTCTTTGGTATACCACTCTATAAAAATTTTTTTGTGGAAAAGTTGTGAATAAGATTTATTATTAATATCATACCCAAAGTTACTATAAATACGTAGCAAATAACATTTGTTTCTACCTTTGTACCCATAAATAAGTATACTCTACCACAATCAGGAGCCTCTTGTTTACTGTAGAATGGAGCTCCTACAAATAGATCTTCTAATCTAAAATAATAATTCCACAATTAAACTGTTGTCGATTTGTAGTGATTTGGCGTATTTCATCTGATCAACGAATAAACTCATGAAAATTACGATTAACGAACCCATCGTTGTTTATGTCTATCGATAAAGTTTCAGAACCGAAATAGCTGCCAAACTGCGAAGCAATTTTCAATTTATTTAGATAAACAAATGAAGCATGTATGAGTAAGTTGTCTGGCTAATATTTTTCAATACCTGTTCACCCGAAAGCGAAGTATTCATGATCAAACGTCTAAGTGAATCGCTATAAGATAGTATATGCACCTAAAATGAAAAGTTCCATTCTTAATAATTTATAACACGAATTAAAGATAAAATACTAATCCATATTAGGCATTAAAAAGCATCAGACGAACCATGCCAATTTTATCTCCATCTCTAGGCGAGCCGGCGATGACGTCTTTATATGATTATCAAGATGAAACAATTTTGAAGTTTAGAGCAAGATTCTGACTGTTATACAGTATCATACGCTATAACTGCAAGCAAAATTTTCATATAAACATGTTTAATATTCCCTACATAGTGAATTGTTGCTAACCGCTCCAAATGTTGTAGAGTAACCTTGAAGAAGAAATAACTCCAATTCATTGATTTAAAGTGTAATAATTTCCCCTTACTCTTACATACGTTTGTACAAATACGATCAATAGTCTTACCAGTATACGCAAATTCGCCGAAATTTGTAAGAACGTCCGTGTAACTCATGGTAGTTACGTCACTCGATTGCTGTACTTTCGAAGTACTTTCAAAGTAGGACACTAACCCTTTTCATAAATTGTTAAGTTAATATTGACGCAAGCGAAAGTAATGAAAAGCGCTAAGCATTCTAATGATCTAGTAATTAACTTCTCAATATGGAAACGTGCAATTTAATACCTTGGAATGTTGAACTACGAACACCGATCGATCCAAAGTTTAGGAGTTTACCATCCTAAAATATAAATATGAAATAGAGCAATTATCATCATATAATGTTATTTTAGTAAATAAGAATTCAACGCTCGAACCTTGCTAAAATCGATCGAAATTCCGGCCATACATCTGACATAATAAGGCCCCACTAAAGGTAAAAATGGTGAAAACAGTGTCATAAAGATATTCTGTGTGAATAACAAATTGACATTCGGTGAAAAATTATCGGCATATTCATCTCTCTATTATACTTTCTCTAATATATCTTTAACTTGAGCTCACAACTGAAATAATACCACAAGCAAAAATGGCACTTACTGGCAATACAAGGAGTGACATCTGCCATCAATGAGAAATTGGATGACCAAACATAGCATCGACCAGGCATTCTCGGCTCAACACTAGCGGAAGTTGCTTCTATGGAGAACTTGTGACCACATGCCTTGGATGTCAAAATAACCATTAAAGCATGTATAACGACTGTAAGCTAGATGCCTTAGCGTTATGATAAGCATATGCAATGATGTTTTACAAAGTACATGTATGCACATACGCATCCACTGCAGACTAAAATAACAAAATACCGAGAATTGTCAATATCAGGATTTTCTTACCACTATAATCCCATGACTACTTTGCAAAGATACCCCTAAGCACATTCCTTTCGATACTTCAGCATACGAACCTTTACCTGTATGGTTATAGCGAATATTTATACACGTGGAAGTAATGTAGATTAGTAATGTATTTCCTGCATAAAATACAAACTATTGATATAGAATAAGTCAATTGATCGAATCCATTTAACCAAGTCTAAGCGTCATACTTTAGATATGCTAGAAATAATTTCAAATTTCAATCAAAGTATAACGTATTTCGAAAGGCAAACTTATTATACTGTGGTTCGTAGGTGTGATAATACTTATCACGACATGTTAAGTTTATTTACCGGGGTAGTACATCGGAATCTCTAGGCAATCGTTTCGATTACTAGCGATTGGACAACGAAAGATAGCACCAGATGAGTCTACCGATGTAATATTGCTGCTATTAGCACTTGGTGCTCCAGTCAAAAGCCTGCCAAAAGATCAATTAAAATTTTACGTTATCTCCAGTTCGAAAGTTACATACGAGTATGTACAATACCTGAGAAAATACGAATCAACTACGGACAATTAGTGCATTTTTAGTAACAAACGCTAAAGAAATTAGTCAACGAGATGCAATACGTTCATTTTGACTGTTGCACGCGTATACTGTTGGTTCACTTCTACTAGAAATAGTATGAGAGAAGTTTCAGCCCGCAAGATATATTTCAATGAAATTGCTACTCTACTTAAAAATTGGGTTTAATAGGCCTCATTTGTATTCTTGTTTCTATGAATTGGATAACACCAAGTATCGTACGAGAGCTTACCATAGCAAAGACGTATTATCTGAAACTTTCCATGACAATTGCATGATTCGTTTTTGCAGCAGCTACTGTACAGTACATCATCTACTCGTACTAAAACTTTTGACAATCCTAGGATTGTCATACCTTGAAGATTGACCATATCATATTTAATTATTCTCAAAGTGACGTTAAGAATAATCTCTTAGTATAATTAATCTGCGTATCTAAAGGATATTTAGGAAAATTCCTGTTTTCCAACTTCTAGCCTATTGTATGTATACTGCTAATGGCGTCATACGCTAGTAAAAAACTATTTTTTAGAAAATTAGACAGTCATGCTAGCTCAAGCATTGGGATCAGAGAAGAACTTTTGGATCAAGTGCATTAGATCCGATCTTTTAATGATATCTCTCACTTCTACTATTTATCATTTACTTTATGTCTTTGAAATGGCAACTTTTCGTCGGCATATAAACTCTTACATATACGGATTATGTCCTCGAGCTCAGATTGTCAGATACTATTATATGGAAGCATTTCTAATTTTATCCCTAAAGAGACAGCCAGGCTCGTAACTCGTCCACTCAGTTTTTAATTAATCGGCCATCTTTTACTGCATTTTGGTAGGAAAATGATAGGCCATGGACGGCTACTCTGTGGCCTGA